CTACCGCCTCCCTTGCCCCTCATCTCTCTCGCTCAGTCCTTCTTAACAGCTCCTGGACTACAGCATTGTTTTCTCATTAAAACTGTAAGAGGTGCTTAAACTGTTCTTGCTGAGAGCGCTGACTCCTTACCCCGGCCACAAACTAACTAAAAGCAGAGAAGCTTGGCATCCCTGCCTCCATTTTGTATGTCTGTGCTCTAAGCCATCTGTTTACAGTCACCTTGGAATCCAGGAAGGACAGGACTGATGGATAACACTTTTATGACAAGGGACTAAACTACCCATAAGGACGAGCAGAAACTTGCAGGACAATGGGGACAATTATCATTATACATGATGAGGTTGCACCTGGAGCAGGAGTAAGGGTGATAGCATCACACTTCAAGTGATGGCAGCAATAACAACTTCTCCAAAACCCCATCGAGACAGTGACCAACCAGACCACACTTTGACCAGGACTAGTTAATTATGCATGCCTCTCCCTCCCTGCCCCAGTTCTTCCACTAGTTAAACCTGAAGCTTGTGTGTGTACCCCAAAGATGGCTGAAGATGAACTGAGGTACTGTCTTCCTGTGGCTCCCAGTGCCACGTAATAAATCTCCTTTCTGTGACCTTCGCCATGTCTTTTTTGGCAAGTAGGGGCAAGTGGCTGGGCTTGACATGTGGAATGGGAGGAGTTTGAGCCCAGGGCCTAAGACTCCGGTTTCAAAAACCACAGAATGAAGTTATCTCAGCCTTTCACCTTATCATCCATGAAAATACACTGCAGGAACTCAGCACCTGTGGGGCGTGTACTCAAATTCAGAACCAAGTTTTAGATACGGTTCTGTTCCACTAGATTGAAATACGAGGAAGTCTGGGATTTATATAATGGATGATTGCTGGAGAGCGTGAACTTGAAAAAACCTGGAAAAAGGAAAAACGGCTTCTGGGTGTTGGAGGTGGAGGAGACCAAGGCGTAGAAGGTTGTGGTGGCAGTGGAACAGATAGGGAGACATTGAACAAGAAGGAGGTACTGTGCCAAAGCTTCATAGGAAGGTGATGGTGCTGAGACTTCAAGGCAGGCAGCTGGGATGCTGATGTTGCCTTTGACAGAGGTGACACAGCTGGGAAATTGGGTGGCTTTTACAGCGGACCCTGTCACTGAAGATGGGCTGAGAAACAAAGCTAGTATCTTCATGAAGATACGTGTTCATTTGCTCACTCAACAAATCACAGGAGCCAGAGACACTGTGGGGAGACTTAATGACATCTGTGACATGCTTTCTGTCCTTCAGGCCTTTGGGTCTGCACAATTTTTTTTTTTTTGGTGATACTACGGTTTGAACTCAGGGCCTCACACTTGCTAGGCAGGTGCTCTACCACTTGAGTCACTCTGCCCTTTTTTGCATTGGGTTTTTTCACGATAGGGTTTCATGAGCTATTTGTCCAGGACTGGCTTTGGACACTGATCCTCCTGATCTTTGCCTCCTGAGTAGCTAGGATTATAGGTGTGAGTCACCAGTGCCCAGCCACAAATATCTTTAATAACAGCAATCAAGTGATAAGCGCAAAAGGCACTAACATACTGGTCTTGGACATTCAGATTAGAGAAACACTATGTCTGGCTGAAATCAAAGTGTGGGGCTCCAATGAAAGGAACGCATAGTGGGGACACAGCTGAGACTTTGGCGCGGGGGGTCGAGGGGAGAGGGAGGGTTGTACATTCTGTCTGCAACCTCTTTTATTCAGTCAATGATTTCATATGTCTCCCCTAAAACCCACCAAATTCAAGTTGACCCAACAGAATAATCCTTTAGAGAGGGTTCCCATCCATCCCACCCAGTCTGGGCTGGTGGTGAAACATGGAACGTGAACATGTTCAGTGAAGGGCTGCATGGTGGAGGTGAGAAGGTCACAGCTCTGACTCCAGGGAATACTTGAAGTTTAGAACTGGAGGGGAAAGAAAAGCTATTAAGGGAGCTAAAGAGACAGAAAAACAAAGGATCTCATCACAAAATGCAAGAGAGAAGAGGGTTTTTTAAACTGTGTAGTCAGGGGCCAAGCATAATGGTACATTCCTATAATCCCAACTACTCAGGAAGCAGAGGCAGAAGGACATCAGGTCAGCCCAGGCAAAGTTAGTGAGACCTTATCTCATAAAACACAAACAAAAGGGCTAGGGGTGTGGATCAATTCGTAGAGCTATCCCATTACTACTAAAAAAAATAATAATAAAATTGAGTAGTCAGCAATGTCAAGTGCTAGAATGAAAATTAAACAATTCTTAGTGTTTTCTAGGCAGAGTCTCAAAGGACAAAGTTAAGCACAAATCACTCGCAAAGCAGCATCACTTTGCATGGCTTCAGGATACTCAAAGCCTTTTTCCTGCTTACACCGATCTACCCTCCCTCCCACCAGTTTCTGAGTTTCTGGTCTACAACAGTGAGTGCACACCCTACCAGGAAGAAAACTGGCCAGTGTTGGTTTCAGTGGAATGACCCCAAGAAGTTTCATTTTTAGTGGTTTTTAAATAAGATCTGGAACAGCCAGTTGAACCGGTAATTCCTTTATTCATGGCTGTGTCTCCTTCATAACAGACTCCTAGCTCATCAGCAGTTAGCAAAAAGTTCTTATTAGTCATGTTTTTTCCTTGCAGGTGTCTTGTTCACAACAATCTTACCATATTTCAGAGATATGGAGTAGCACTGCAAAATACCTGTCTGAACACAAGGTTTGGGTTTTGTTTTGTGATGCTAAGGACCGAACCCAGGGCCCTGCACAGGCTAGGCAAGGACTCTACCATGGGGCTGCACTCCAGCCCCATCAACAGGCTCCTGACTGAGTTGCTGGGCTCCCTCCCTAATGGCCATTTACCTTTTCTTCTTTACCAACAGAATCCTAGGTGTGTTTGGGCAGCCCTATCCTCAGCTAAAAATACTACATTTCCCAGCCTGCCTTGCGAGGTTAAGATAAGTGACTTGCAAGATGAAGTGTCTGAAGATCACTGTAGAAGCTCGGCTTCCCTGATATGTTGCTGTCCCCTCTCCCTCCCTGTCTGCCTCTCTGTCAGGTTTGTGTTTTATGAATGAGAATTTGGCGGATTGCAGATTTTCCTTTCCATCACTTCCCAGTTTGGAATTGCTTTCAAATTTCAAGATGGCTGGAAGGCTAATTTCTAAAGAATAAAGGAATTCCTATATATTAATTGAGTTTTTGGAGGTGGGGTTGGGATTTGAACTCCGGGCTTCACGCTTGCAAAGCAGATGCTCTACCAATTGAGCCACTCCTCCAGTCCATTTTACTCTGCTTATTTTGAAGATGGGGGTCACGAGAACTATTTGCCCAGGCTGGCCTTAAACCTCAATCCTCCTGATCTCAGGCTCCCAAGTAGCTAGGATTATAAGCATGAGCAACTGGCACCCAGCTGAATTGATCATTCTAAAAAACAAAAACAAAAAAGAACTGAATTCTAAACATTCTAAGTGAAAATGATTGAACATCTGCCCTTTTTCAAAGTTAGTAACTCATACACAGGCAAACATGGGACTAAGTAATTACAGAAAGATCAAAAGTGCTACATTTAATTGTATCCCCTCTATCTTTGTAAAACAGTTAATCTCAACATCTCAATTCCCTGCACTTTCTTTTCACACCAAGCTCCTGATTGAGAAATATATCAACACATCAAAGCAGTGGGGATCTGAATGTCTGCTGAGGGTTATTTCTTTGTAGAGCAGAATGTAGTTTGACTGCATCTTTGAAATACAGAACTAAAGGAATCTCCTTTCCTGTGAAACATAGTAATCCAAATAGTTGCAAACCCAAGAAAGGAACAGAGACATTTAGCACAAACACATGTATTTTTCAACCTCTGCCATTTTGGGGAAGTACATTTATCATCTAAAGACACCTATCCCTTTTTCCCTGTGCAACCTGCCATTTCAACCTGTTTGCTTATAGAATGAAGGTCTTAAGGAAGAGCCCAGTTCACATTCCCATGAAAGAAAAAAAGGGCTACTTATCTCAGGGGTCAGTTTTGCTGAATGTGACCAAATCCCAGCAGAGGCTCCAATCTTCACAACAGACACATGAGAAAATGAATGATCTTTCCTTATCAACAGATTCCTATTCATACAGCCAGATGGTTAAATTACCTAATACAGTTTGAGTTTCTACTCTGCATAACTGTTGTTCCAATGCAGACACTTCCATAAATGTAAAGTTGACCACGGAAATTATAACTTCAGAAGTTTGGGGCTTTTGTGTAGTTGAAATACCCAAGTCCTGGGGGAAAGTCTTCTGCTGCTATGGTTGCTGCTTCCAGATGTGCCCAGCTTCTTTCTAGGAAATACCTCAGGGACTGGAGGTTTGGCTCAAGCTGTAGAGCTCCTGCTTTGCAAGTATGAAGCCCTGAGTTCAAGCCCCAGCCCTACCAAAAAAAAAAAAAGGAACAGGGAGGAAACACCTCAGACACTGGAACAATAGAATTCAAGCTCAAGTGTTAATAAATCATGGATTTGGGGAACAATTGTGCCTTTCTGTGTAACACAAATGATAGGGGGAACGACTTTCTAGAATTCTGGCACCTGAGCAAGGCAGGCTAGAAATGACAACAGTTTAAATAGAAGCCAACATCAATTTCAAAATAAATCAGGATACAGACCAGAGGCAACTTATAAAAAAAGAGTATAATACAGAAATGCCCGTCCCTTCATTATAGTTAAAATTACACTTCCTCATATACACTCTGCCATTATGGGGACAGATTGGGTGAATGAATACACTATTAAGTAGTTAAATAATACAACCAAGGGTTTTGGGCTTTTTTTTTAATGTGGTCCACCTTATTTTTCAACATTATAATTTCAAGAATGGAAATGAAAGAAACTAAGGTATTTTCTTAGACATAACTAACAGGTTTCTTATAACCCTCCATGTCACTACTATAACACAAGCTGTTTTGTCTGTAACCCATAAGACACCATTTCCTGGCACATCAGGTTCCCAAGGTCTAAGTGCCTTTTTTTTTTTTAACATGCCTTTTTTTTTTCTTTTTTAATCTTCCTGAACTCAGTAGGTTCTCTTTCCAGGTCAAGTGTTATCTTCTGGCAAAATACCAGATAAATATGCCTCATCATTTATGCATCCTACAATTCAAGTCTCCACTTACAAACTTAAAATGAGCTCTTGAGCTCTCTATTAACAACTCCCCACACTTACTTAAAAGGATCACTTAAAATACTAGACAAAAAAAAATCCCCTCTGGAGGAGAAAGACTCCTTTGAAAATCAAAATCCTCATTTCTTAAAAAGAGCCTCAGTAAATCTCCCAGAAACTTGCCATCTGTATTATTTTCTAAGTGTGACGATTAAATAAAATTAAAAGTAAATAATAGACAGAAATTAAATAACAAACTTAAAATAAATTAAAAAAATATGTAGTCTGGAGTTTTCAGAGAAGGAAATAAAGATGGGTTTTTGCTTAAGTTCACATTCCTTTCTGTACCAGTTTCTACAAGGAGTGGTCAACACTGCCCCCTACAGGGCTTTTTATGTAACATCCCTTAGTTCATCGGGGAGGAATGTCCCAGGATGCCTCCACCCGTCTACAGCAGGGCACATTCTTTCTTTTGCTTCTGGGACAGTCTGTCTTTGCACTTTTGTGAATGACTCTGAAGATCATACAGCCCCTGGAGAGGCTCTGAGGCTTTGAGAAGACACATTTTGAAGGGGTCAGAAATTAACATTTTTTGCTGTAGTTTTCAAGCCTTAGCATGCAAGAGAAACTCCCAGAGGACTTGTTTAAACCAGCTTGCTGGGCCCCACATCCAGAGTTTCTGATTCCACAAATCTAGGGTTGAGTCCGAGAATTTGCCTCTCTCACCAGTCCACAGGTGACTATGATTCAGTCCAGGGACCACATTTGTGAACCCCACAATATCTCAATACCTCACAAGAGGGTGAAGTGTTATCAGCTCTGCTTCACAGAACAGGAAGCCAAGACTCAGAAAGATTAGGCAGTCAAGTCACACAGTAATGGCCAAGCTGGTAATAAACCCAGGATGGTCTTAACCAAAACCCATGGCCCTCTTCTGTACACTACGATGTCAGTAATTAAAGTTGTTACACACTTCATCTTTCTTGGCTTCAGCTTCTTCTGAGGACAGGACTCAGACTGAACAGGTGACATCCCTCTCAGGGTACCCAGAGGTCTGCAGAAAGATCATGCCATACCCAGGCTGGCTTCTGAACCAGTCAACTTGGAGGAGCAGGAAGAGGACAGCATGTTAGGTACAAAGTACATAGTGGGACTGCTGGATTTGGGGGTTCTTGGTATCAGAAGCTCTGGACTTGAGGGTTTTAAACAAGTGTCTCCTCTCCCAGGCAATTTGGGAACCTCAAAGCCTGCTGGGGCTTGCAGAAGACCCAGAAGGTGGCAGCTCTCCAGCCTTGTTTCAAACCAACGGGGTGGGTCAGGGGATCCCGAAATCATTCTAACATGGGAGTGTCTGCCCAGCTGTGTGAAGTTTTTTGATCAAGGAGAACGACTTGTCAGGTCCCACACTCCAGTAGTGGAAAGTCACTTGCATGAGAGCCCAGGCAGGATGTCACAGTGATGGGGAAAGGGCTGCAAGGACCCACCCTCTGCAAAAATGGCTTTTCTCTTTCTTTGCACTCAGTTTTTAACCCAATTTGGCGTTTTCCCGCGGGAGCTACAAATCTGGAGCCTCCCATGGGGAGCGGTGGGCCACCAGAGCGGAAAGGATTTCTCAAAACAAGAAGCCTGCGTGCTATGGCACAGAGATTCCAAGGTCGTGGTCACGCCTGGACTTGGTGCAGAGCTGGACCCGGGCCTCCAGTTGCTCACTGAGCTCGTCCAGGGCCCCAGTGCAGGACTCCAAGCTCTCGGCCAGTTTTTGAATCTTGGCCTTCAGCACGGCCTGGCTAACCTTGGTGGCCCCCTCGGAGCACCTAGGGATGAGGAAGCCACGGGAGCCAAAGAAGACGATGAAGTACACGGAGTTGTACAGGGCCATGGAGGCGTTCCTCCCGCTCTGCAGCAGCTGGCGGTCCCCGGAGCCCTGCCACCGGCAGAAGAACTCCAGGCAGCTCAGGAGCTCGCGCATCTGGTCCTGGCAGGTGGCTGCGATTTCCTGCACCCTGCGCACCTCCCGGGAGTTGCAGAGGATCAGGGAGACATCGGACGTGATGGTGACAGCGCCTCCAGCTGTGGCCACCCCTAGCCCCACGGCCGATGCCAGAAGTGACGCCCCCAGGGTGACCGGGCTGAGCGACAGCCCCACGATGGCCGCCACGGCTCCTGCAGCGCTCAGCGAGCTGCCGGCCACGTGCGCGGCCAGCGATCGCCGGCGGAGGCGCTCGAGACGCCGCTCAGCGTCGCGCAGGCGCAGCACCTGGCCGTGCAGCCGCCCGCGGCGGTCCAGCAGCAGTCCCTGAAAACGTCGCAGCTCATCCGAACCCTGGGGCTCGCGGGTCGCCGGCCTCTCCATGCCCTGCGAGGATACAAGCAGTCACTGTCAGCCCGAGTGTGCGCCTGCCTACGCCCCAGCTGCGCCACGCCACACCAGCTGCTGCCCAGCTCCAAGGCTCCAAGGGCAGGGGTCAAGTTCGCAGAGACCTGTTCTGCAATCTGGGACAAGTCTCATGGGTTCTCAGGACCTTGTCACAGCACATGCAAATAGAAGTGATGCTTTCTTCTGCTTTTCTCCCAAGGCACGCTAAGAACCGACTGTAAAGTGTTAAATAAGATTTAAACAGGAGGATGGAGGATTGGGGGTAAGGCTGCTCCAATCAATCGGAGGCCTTTGATCTGTTTGAAACATAACCCTTGGGTTGAGGGTGTAGCTCAGGGGTGCCTGGCATGCGCAAGGTCACCAAAAAAGGAAAGGAACCTTACAAGCAGTAGGTTGTACACTTTGCAAAGAACTTTCATTAGATGAACACGTGGAGCCTAGGAATCTGAGTCTCTCTCTCTCTCTCTCTCTCTCTCTCTCTCTCTCTCTCTCTCTCTCT